TGTCGATTCCCTTCCCGGACTTATTGTTTATATTGTTTGGGTGAGGAAGAGTGCAAAGCACGAAGGGTCATGTCGCGCATGATATCGTGAGTGAGTGTTAATGCACGAAGGGTGATGCCGTGCCGATACCTTGAGTGTTAATGCACGAAGGGTGATGCCATGCCATGAATTGAGAGTTAATGCACGAAGGGTGATGCCGTGCCGATATTTTGAGAGTTAATGCACGAAGGGTGATTCCGTGCCATGATTATGAGAGGTAATGCACGAAGGGCGATGCCGTGCCGTTTCTGTTACGCACTCACGCAAGTGCACGTGATCGTCATGTAATAAAGTGACTAAAAGTCGGATGTGGAACCCACGAGGACTTGTGATTAACTATTAACTAAATTAGACTATCCTAATTATCTAAACAAGAATTAAACCTAGAAGTATTTTGTTCTAAACTAATTAAATAAAGAATATAAATAATGAACTTTAAACAGAGGAAGAGCAGATTTTTATGATATCAATGTAATGAAAACGATCTAGGGTTATGGGCTATCTAACATTCCTATTGTATTCTTCAATTGAATTGACTAACTAATTTATCGAGTTTATTGGTTGACAGGGTTAATATTGCTCATAAGAATCTGTCGAGTTCTTACTCGCCTATTCAAGCTAACCTAACTCCTATATGTCTATGGAGTTAGAATCAACAAGAACGCATTTATAATTCCTGTATTTCAACCAAGCAAGGCAATTAGGTATATGTCTATCCTAACTGCGAATCCGTTCCCTGATGCCCAGGTTCAAGAGCTTGCTCTACTCAGTCCTATATGCAATCTAGAATTCCACTTTCGAGTTCAATTCAAGATTCGTAGATAGTATTCAATTGGTGATCAAGCAATCAAATAATTAAGTGCAGGATTGAATAAATAAACCAATATAATAAACTAAGAAATCAAAATCAATATCCGAATAACAATAGTCATGAAAGAACCACAACCCTAGAACGTGAAGCTTAGCTCCACATAGACATGGTAGCAAAACAACAAATCATACAAAGAAACATAAAAAGACTAAGTTGGTGGAAGAAAAGATGAAACTCGGCCTCCACGGCGGCTCTGTGCTTGTGTTTTCCTCTCAAAAACGTCTTCCTCCACCTCCTTAGTTCTAAATTATGTCAAAAGTGTGTCCCCTCCTTCAAAGTGGTGTTTTAGGATGTATTTATATGACCTAAGGTTGATGAGGGGCGGAATTCTTCAATCCAACTTCGGATGGGAGAGCTGGAATCCGCGTCTGCCTTCGCGTCTAGACGCGGACTTTGACGCGGATCCGCGTCTGCCTTCGCGTCTTGACACGGACTTTGACGCAGATCCAGCTTTTGAGATTTTTCCATTTCGCGAAGCGCTCCGTGCTTTTGCTTCGCTTCGCTGTTTTGTGCCTTAACTTTTCTCCTTTTTCGCGCCCGACTTCGTGCCACGCACGAGAATAGACGAGATCCCACTCCTTTAATTTCTTCTTTTTGTGTCGAATTGTCATCTTTTGATCATTTAGCATCCAAACTCGTTCCTACACATAAGAAACACATAATGAGTATATTTCACTTCGAAAATCATGTAATCTCCCGCGACACACACAAAAATTAATATGCAAATATACTAAAAAATTTTGGACTTTTCATCATTTATCACCAAACATCACTACCCCACACATAAACGTTGCTCGTCCTCGAGTCAACTAATAATTCACACTATCCTTGTGCACTTTGTTTTTACACAATTGAGGCACACTACACCAATGACCATGGTTGATAGCAACAATTAAACATTAGCATATGCAATCACATACACTTCCCTTTTTCTTATGCCAACTTCAAAAATATTCAAACAAAGACAATATGCTCACAACAATCCTAGCCTCAAAAACTGACTCAATTTCACAATGCACTCATAGCTTGAACACCCAACATCCTAAAGAAGTCTAATAATGTTACCTATCCTTCGTGAAACCATGTGCCCTCACAACCAAGGCAAGAGAGTAAGTTGAATCCACACATTCGAATCTCATGCTCACATATATCAAAGAAAATCGCTCACCCTCACAAAAAAAGGCACATGCATGTAATTGGTACCATAGGCTTGCCCTTAATGTAAATCTCTACTAATGTAGGCTCGCTCGATCTAAAATCAATTAGGTCTTTTTCATGGTTGTAATGTGGTAGGATATATTTAGGAATAGTGACTAACCCTCCTAAGCACTTTAACACACCACATAATCACTTTAAGCGCAAATTCTTCAATCCACTTCACTTTCACAAACAATATCACCCCAAAAAGGCTCCCTTCTTCATACCCATTAGCAAGAACAAGACAACAATTTATTCATCTCTATTTTTTTTCTTTTTTTTTCTTCCAGATTATTCTTTTTTTTCAATTTCCGCTAGTGGTGTATTATTTAAAAAACAAGTGCACCTTTCTTCCTTTTATTGGTTCCACTCAAAAGCCACCCCACTCTTAATTCCTTATTACTTCTTTTAGCGCTCATCTCATGATTGAAGTGCTTTAAGAGGAAAAAGGATCAAAACAATGTCAATTAAGAATAAAAAGGGTATAGGCTTGTAATGTGGGTGCCAAATAAAAGTCTATAGGCTCAAAAGGGCTAACTAGGGATAGATTTTATTTGTGATAAGCAATAAAGCTCAAAAAAAAAACAAAGAAAGCCTAAGTCACTTTTCAAACCGAACATCACCTAAAATTTCGCTTCAACTCACATACCGGGCAAGTTCTAGACACAAGTACAATACATAGACTATACAAAAACTTCACCACACATGGCACATGACTCACTAAGGACGGTCTCATTCCGACTCTCAAACAAATGCAAGTATTCACGGAGCCACGAGATATTAAGCATTAAGCACAAAGTGAACACAAGTCAAGATAACGAGACATAGGCATCACAAGACATGCTATCCAACTAAGCAAGGCATCATCAATAATTTCAAATCATAGGGAAGATACTACACATGCCAAAGCCTAAATATGTTACTATCTAACAAGTCAAGGGCGCCTAGGTTCATCATTCTTCCTCCATTTATTCCCTAAATTCTAATATACTCTAAAAATCAAAATAAAAGAGTCGTTGCACAAAGAAAAACCATGGGGGATTATTGCTACCTAAAAAGAAAAGACACATTTTTGGATTTTTTCTATTTTTCACCCTTTTTTCATTTTTTTATTGGACCTTAATCCCTCAAGAAAGCTGTCCACAAAATCCATCGTCGGGAAAAGTCCAAATTTTTTGATTTTTTTTTTTAGTTTTTTTAAAAAAATTACTACACTAAGAACGAGTACTATAACTAAGCTAACATAGCACAGAAAACCACCCAGACAATCTCCTCACCCCACACTTAAAATTGTGCAATGTCCTCAATGCACACTGAAAATAACAAGAGGAAAAAAGAGACTCCCTGGTAGGCCAAAGGCCGAAGCATTAGCAGCTCACGGGATACTCAGACTTCTCCCACGTATGATCCCTTGTGCGGGTACCTCACACTCAGTTTCAAACACATGCTCGCTTTTGCATTCGCCTATTGGCTTTGACTCCATGCTCTTACTCCTACAAAATACAAAAATAATACTACAAAAAAAAATACGATAAAAAAATGTAACACAATAAAATATAAAAAAAAGTAAACAAAAAAACAAAAGAAAAAAAATGGAATTGGGTTGCCTCCCAACAAGCGCTTGATTTAACGTCGCGGCACGACGCCATCACTTTCACCACTTTTCCTTCCACTTTGAGGATATAAATTGCGCCCCCAATTTTGCATCAATTTTTCTGTCACGTTCATGAGGCGGTGGTGTGAAAATAAAGGAACTAAGCAATAGATATCGCATCTTGCACTTCTTGGCCCTTAAGTGAGGAATGCCGTTTTGTCTCCTTGGCATCGCAAATTTCAGAATATAAACACTTTGTTCCTCATCCATTGACTTATCTATAAGCTCGAATGGATCAATTCCCATGTCACCAACCAAACACAATGTTGAAAAATATTTAGAATGAGGTCCAATACGCTCTAACTCCAAAATTGTATTATTTTTGACATCCTCAATTTCGCACTCTTCGTCAACCTTGGCATCATTAATAATATTTTGGTCTAATAATTAATATTCTCATTTTAGCTCCTCAATTTGGTCTAGAAGATCTTTTTCAGCTTCACACAACTTATCACTAAATTGTTGGGCGTTACATGCATCAACCTTTGCACTCATATCTGCATCCAAGTCGTGAATAGCAGAGCCAAATTTTTTGATCTCTTGTCCCAGTTTAGCTCTTCCTTCTATTAGGTCTTGTATACCATCTATAATTTTCTCACGTTGAGCCTCATATATTTCCAATCTTTCAGCTTGTTCCACCAGCCAAGTTTGACTTAAAATCTCCTCTTTTTCAAAATTTTCCTCTTGTTGGTGCTCGCTCTCTTCATTTAATTCTTCCATACTGGCCTTAATTCTTGTGATTGCTGCCCTCATTCTTTTCATATCTTTTCTAAGTTCATCATGTTGCTCTGCTACTTGCCTCAGAATATCCCTAAAATATGCATCACTGTCGGCTGCCTATTATCCTTGATTATTGTATTTCCTTCGGCTTGTTTGCATTTATCTGCCATTAGTTGTATCACTCATGTCTTTTGCGTACCCAAGTTACATTACATTTCAGCTTATATTTAGGCTTTGCGTGTTTTACGCTTCGCCTGTGTGTCTGCATTCGTAGTAGTCTAGTTTTAGTCTATATCCCTGTGTTTTTTCTGGTGTAATGGCTATTCTGAGCGATGGTAGTGTAAGGTTGAGTCCTCGGGTGGGTTAGGGGGCGAGGAGCAAGGGTGGCAAGGGGGGTAAGGATTTCATAAGGTTGAGAATTGGATCCTAGAACATAGGGACATTTATGGGTATGTCGATATAGCTGGGGAAGATTCTCTAGAAGAGGAAGATTAATATAGCATGTGTCCATGAAACTAGATGGGGGGTACGAAGGCTCGGGATGTTAATGGGTATAAACTTTGGTATTCAAGGGGTGTCGGAGGCAAGAACGGGGTAGGCATTAATTGATAAGGATCTCAGGGAGTTAGTGGTGCATGTTAGGAGGGTGAATGATAGGCTGTTGATTATTATTCTAGTGGTTAATGGGTTCACTTTTAACGTGATTAGTGCTTATGCACCTCAATCGGGACTGAGCGAGGAGGTCAAAAGGTGCTTCTGGGAGGATTTGGACGAAGTTGTGCGCAGTATCCCACAGTCCGAGAAGATTTTCATAGAGGGTGGCTTTAATGGTCATGTTGGGAAGACGACTAGGGGTTATGACGAGGTGCATGGCGGGTTCGGTTTCGGGGTTAGGAACGAGGTCCGGTACTTGGTTGTTGAGTTTGCTAAAGCGTTTGACTTTGTGCTTGCTAACACGAGTTTTAAAAAAAGGGAGGATCACCTGGTCACTTTCCGGAGCAGGGTTGCCAAGACTCAGATTGATTATCTTCTCCTCAGGAGAAGTGATACGGGCCTATGCACGGATTGCGAGGTTATCCCGAGTGAGTGTTTGTCAACGTAGCATAGGCTCCTAGTAATGGATTTGGAGGTTAAGGGAGTACGGAAGAAGAGAGCGGTGTACGGACAACCTAAGATCAAGTGTGGAGCCTTGACTAAGGGAAAGGCTCAAGAGTTGGGGGAGAAGTTGTTGGCTATGGGGGCCTGGAGGAGCAGTGGGGACGCGAGTAGTATGTGGACCATGACCGCAAACTGCATTAGAGAAGCCGCTAAGGAGGTGTTAGGGGTCTCGAAGGGTTAGTCGGGTGGCCACAAAGGGGACTGGTGGTGGAATGAGGAGGTCCAAGGAAAAGTGGAAGCTAAGAAAGCGGCGTATCTGAAGCTAGTGGAGAGCACGGACGAGGAAGAGCGAAGGTCGTATAGGGAGTTTTATAAGAAAGCAAGGAGAGAGGCGAAGCTCGCGGTTACGGCGACCAAGACTACAACTTTTGAAAGATTGTATGAGGATCTTGGGGGAAAAGGAGGGGATAGGAAGCTGTACAAGTTAGCCAAAATTAGGAAGAGGAAGGCTCGGGACCTGGATCGATTGAGGTGTATCATGGACGAAGACGGTAAGGTATTGGTGGAAGAGGCGTGTATCAGGCGTAGACGGCAGGAGTACTTCCATAGACTCTCGAACGAGGAAGAGGATAGGAACATCGTGCTGGGTGAGTTGGAGAACTCAAAGATTTAGAGAGATTTTGGGTTTTGTAGGCGTATTAGGTGTGAGGAGGTTGATGTGGCTATACGGAAGATGAGCAGGGGTAAAGCGACTGGTCCTGACGAGATCCTGGTGGAATTTTGGAAAGAAACGAGTAGGGTAGGCTTGGAGTGGCTTACTAGCTTGTTTAACGTCATTTTCAAGACGAAGAAGATGCCCGAAGATTGGAGGGGGAGTTTGATGATTCCGTTGTACAAAAACAAAGGTGATATCCATAACTGCAACAACTATAGGGGTATCAAGCTGCTGAGTCACACTATGAAGGTCTGGGAGAGGGTGGTGGAGAAGAGAGTGAGGACAGGCGTATCTATATTCGAGAACCAGTTTGGATTTATGCCGGGACAATCAACCACAGAAGCCATTCACCTTATGGGACGATTGGTGGAGCAGTATAAGGAGAGGAAAAAGGCTTTGCACATAGTGTTCATTGACCTTGAGAAGGCTTATGACAATGTCCTGAGGGAGGTGCTATGGAGATGTTTAGAGGTTAGCGGAGTCCCGGTAGCATACATTAGGGTGATTAAGGACATATACGAAGGCGCTAAGACTCGGGTGAGGATTACAGGAGGAGACTTGGAACATTTCTCAATAGATGGGGTTGCATCAGGGATCAGCCCTTAGCCCATTTGTGTTTGCCCTAGCGTTAGATGTCCTGACACGACACATAGAAAGGAAGGTGCCATGGTGCATGTTATTTGCTGATGACATAGTACTTATTGACGAGATGCGAAGGGGTGTTAACGCTAGGTTGGAAGTTTGGAAACAGACGCTGGAATCCAAAGGTTTCAAGTTGAGAAGGTTAAAAACTGAATACTTGGAGTGAAACTTCAGTGATGAGAGGCATGAATAAGAAGAAGAAGTAAAGATTGATACTCAAGTCATTCACACAAGAGAGAGTTTCAAATATCTTGGGTCTATAATCCAAGGCAATGAGGAAATTGACAAGGATGTCACTCACCGCATTGGAGCGGGTTGGATGAGATGGAGGCTAGCTTCGGGGGTTTTATGTGATAAGAATATACCACCTAGACTTAAGGGAAAATTCTACAGGGTGGCGGTTAAACCGGCTATGTTGTATAGAGCTGAGTGTTAGCCCGTGAAGAAGTCCCATGTCCAAAAGATGAGTGTAGCAGAAATGAGAATGTTGAGATTGATGTATGGTCATACCAGAAAAGACAACATCGTGAATGAAGTTATTAGGGACAAGGTAGGAGTGGCATCCACGGAAGCCAAGTTACGGGAATCGAGGTTGCGATGGTTTGGGCATGTGAAGAGGAGAGATATAGATACCCAGGTCAGGAGGTGTGAGAGTTTGACCATGGCGGGCTTGAGGAAGGGCAGAGGTAGGCCTAAGATGTATTGGGGAGAGGTGATTAGGCAAGACATGTCAGTGCTTCACCTAACCGAGGACATGATTAGCGATAGGAAGGTGTGGAGGTCGAGGATTAAGGTGGTGGGTTGACAGGTAGTTGCGAGTTTTTCATAGGTTCACCAGTAGTACTAGTAATATTCTTGTTGTGGGTTGAAAGTTACTTCCTTCTAGTTTGTTATTGTATCTGGTACTTTGCAACCACGTCCTTTGTTTTTATAAATTGCTACTGGGATTGTTGCTCCCTGAGTGTTACTATTTGATGCTACTTTTTCTCCCCTTTTACTGGATATTGTTGCTCCCTGATGGTTACTATTTGATGCTACTTTTTCTCCTCTTTTCTTATCGCTTTC